GAATTGACTGTGAAAGAACTAGGCAATCAACCCAAATAAGAAATGTCAGTTGCCTAGAACCATAGGGTAATGGTCGCTCTACAAAGTGTATTGGGTAGATAAATGAGCCAAAGGTAGCCTCTGTGTATTGGCCTCTAGGTTATTTGTTTTTCCACTACTGACTGAGACCTTTAGCTCAGAAGCCTGCTGGCACCAAACTCAAATTGTTACACATCCAAGTATTTTTAAATAGCCCAAACAAGCAAATTTGTAATCATTTAGAGCCTGTCTGCTTGGCATGGGCCTTGAGATCTCACACAGCAGCTGTAACCCACTGGTGAACAAGGGCCCCATGGTTATAAGGCATTAAGTCACCGCCGCCGCTAGAGAAACTCTCTGACCTGCAGACTCCATGCAGTGTGGCTGAGCAGACCTCATCTGGACTCCTAATCCTCCTCTCCAAAGCCTCTCCCCCCTGAGGAGTTACCTTCCTCCTTTTCTGGATGGTGGTCCCAGTGTCCTAAACCTTTCTCTGGACAGTCTCATGTGTGAGAGATCTCCTTTCTCATGCAACCCTGTTCAAGCACCATTCAGTAAAGCTTATTGTGCATTGCTGCCTCTAAGCCATCAAACCCCCTGTAGCATTCCATAAACTAGCAGCATCACCCGGGACCTTGCTAGCAATGGGACATCTTGGGCTCCACTCCAGACCTACTGAACCAGACTCTCTATGTTAACAATATCCCCACTGTTGTGCACATTGCAATTGGAAATGTGCTGGGCTAAGAGACTTTCATTTGGGGATCGGTATAGTAGCCAAGCACAATGCACCAATGGACTTGTGTGATAAAGATGGCAACCCCCATTTGGGCTGCTCTCAGCCCCTGTGAGTGCCCACTGCCTGATTTCACTGACCCTTTCTTGACTTTTTTCAGAGGGTCTATTCAGTAGACAGGTGTGAAGACTGCCAGGTATGACCACCTTACACAGGGAATAGATTCTTCACAGAAAGCTCTTAGGTTGTGCTGAACCACAGCCACTGTCCAGACACACACACACACACACACACACACACACCACTGAATGCACACACATACCCCTGCAGGGAGTGTTCAAATATATGACCAGATACCATCCCTCTACCCAAGCAAGCATGCTCCATTCACACCTACATGCTAAAAGTTCCCTGTGCTTCTATTCTAAGGAATCTTTTGGGGTGTCTTTCAGGACACAAATCTTTAATAAAGGGAAACAGAGGCAGCCTCCCTGTTATATTATGGTTTTTTTTTCTTCTAACATTGTATGTAAACTTCCTTTGGCTGGGCACAGTGGCTCACGCCTGTAATCCAGCACTTTGAAAGCACTTTGAAACAAGAAAATTGCTTGAGCCCAGGAGTTCAAGACCAGTCTGGGAAACATAGTGAGACTTCATCTCTACAAACAGTTTTTTTAAATTAGGCATGGTGGCGCTTGCCTATAGTTACAGCTACTTGGGAGGCTGAGGTGGGCGGATCGCTTCTAGCCCAGGAAGTCGAGGCTGCAGTGAACCATTTTTGTGCCACTGCACTCTATACTGAGTGACAGAGTGAGACCCCATCTCAAAAAAAATTTTTTTTTCCTTTAACTTAAGCCATTAAGGTACTCAGACTGGTTGGTTCCCTTTCAGGGATGCATCTCCCATTCCATCATAGCCAGAAATCGCTGGATCCTGAAAAGGCACCCCAAAAGGAATCTTTCTCACCAAATTAAATATAATGATCTCTTACAAAAACACAGTGAGGGGCAGGTGCTGAGAGACACCGACAGGAGGAGCCAGGAACAAAAGAACCCCTGCCACACAAAGGCACATTGATCCAAATCCAGGAATGATTATGAATGAGGCTCTCCTCCTCCCAGGAATGTCAATGCTGAAGCCCCAGGCAGCAGACAGGAGAGAACATCCTAATTATTAGCCAGAAAAGCCTGGGGTGAGACAAGGGAAATTTGCTGTGCTTGCTCTATTTGCATTTAGGAAGTTGTGTAGGGTAAAGCTAAGTCTACCCGCACATTTTTTCTTATCTAGGATCTTCAAGTAGATAAAAACTGGTTTTTAAACAAAAGATGTCATTAACTCCATGCAACGAATTTTACTGATTTTTAGGACATGAACTCTGGTCCGTATTCAGCACTTACTTATTCTTACTTTTACATAGTTCTAAACATCTATGAGGTTTGATTTCTCAGACCATAGACGACTATAAGTGACAACTTAGAAATACTCCAGAGTGGGTCAGGACAAAGTTGCGGTAAGAAGGTAGCAAAAGCAACAATTATACCACCAGTGGTAATAAAAAGTAAAGAAGTGCCCAATCAAAGGGGATCAACAAAAACCAAAAAGTCATTACAGGGGAGATACAACATCTATAAGGGTACTTGTTCTCAAACCAGGCAAAGTGGGGACCAAAGGGAGGCCCAAACTTTACCTGTATGATGACCACTTGTATACCTAACCATGAATTGTACTCCACATTTAAAAAATAAAATTTAAAAATTAAAAAAAGCCATTACAAGTACTCACATAACTCAAAAGCATTTATATTAGGGATCCTGGGGACCGAGACTACACAGTCCAATATTTTTATAACAAATTCCTGGTCATCAATAATTACAATAAGCCAAATTATATTTAATTACATTTAACAGTTTCAGTTTAAGAAAGATACTGACTGCTGCACTTTATAAACATATTTTTTAAAACTATTAAGGTCTTGACACTTAGAGTTTTGTTTCAGTTTTGTAGAGAATATATTAAAATGGAATAGCCCACTCTTCCACAAGAACAGGTAAGTGTGACAGTGGTTTACTAAACATATTCCATGCTGAAGTGTATGGCATACAAGCATTTGGGAGCCTCTACTAATTGAATCTACAGCTTTTAGAAGATCATTTCAGCCAAAATTCAGACAACTGCAATGTGTCAATTAGTATCTATTAGGCTTAATAACAATAAAAAGATGAGTAAGAACCAAGCTATTTTTTCAAGGACAGTTTAACTTAGGAATCTTCAAATGCCTTTCCAAATAACCACTAGCTGGGGGTGGGAGGGTATTCTAATTAGTATAGGTTGAGTGGAAGCTACATTTTACTAAAGCTAGATACCGTGGGAAATGATCATGTGTGACACAGTGGAGATTCCCTAATATCCTGAATATTTGAATAGTTGTATTCACCCGGAGGTTCCCAAACCAAAGGAAGGCACACACAAAGCAATCAGAATCTTCCCACCTCCCCTCCCCCCACCTTTTTTTTGAGTTGGAGTCTCACTCTTTCACCCAGACTGGAGTGCAGTGGTACGCTCCTGCAGCCTCGACCTGCTGGGGTCAGGTGATTCTTCTGTCTCAGCCTTCCAAGTAGCTAGAACTACAGACTCATGCTACCACACCTGCCTACTTTTTAATTTATTGTAGAGACGAGGTCTTGCCAAGTTGCCTGGGCTGGTCTCGAACCCACGGGCTCAGGCAATCCTCTCAACTTGGTTTCCCAAAGTGCTGGGATTATAGGCCTGAGCCACCACACCCAGCCCTTCCCCATTTTTTTTTTTTAACTCTTAAATGGAGAACAAATTTTATTCTAAAAATAGATCTTGGTAACAATGAATACCAAAAGCTGGTCATTATAATAAAAAGAAAAAAAAAAAACAGGAGTTTCCTTTTTTTCTGAAAACACAAAATTATCACTATAGTATACTGCCAACTCTCATTTATTTGTATTTGTATTACTGTCTCCTTTTTATGTATGGATTATTCAAGGACATTTCAAAATCACAGATTGGCTTCTGCCTAATAGTTAGACATACATCCAGATTGTTTTGATCTTCAAATAAATACATTCTCAAGGAATGCAAACAAAATTGAGCATTTGCTGAAGTAAACATAATTAGGAAGATAAATCTGTACTTACATCTACGGCCATACCACCCTGAATGTACCCGATCTCGTCTGATCTCGGAAGCTAAGCAGGGTCGGGCCTGGTTAGTACTTGGATGGGAGACCTTCCCCATTTTTTTAACCATGAGGAGTAATCAGAATATCAAAGTGTCTTTAATACCTTTCTGAGCAAGAGAGAGACAGACAATAAATGAACTGAATTCATTTATCCCACACTTGCCCAATGTAAATTGCAGAGATTTGTACTCCTTTCATACCTGGCCTCTGTAGGGATGCAGAAAACCAAGAGAATGTGGGGAACCCGCACCTGCCACAGCGTGATCCCCTCTCAGGGGCCAGCACAGGCTGAGAGAAAACCTTCTTCCATACTCAGCAGAAGCAGCTGGGGGTAAACAATGAGCCTTCAGGGTCCCTTCCCACCCTGGAGCTTTGGAGACATTCTTCCCCACAGGTGAGTGCTGGTTGGAGGCAAGACTTGGTGAATCTCTGTGCCCTGTGCTCACACACATACCCATCACATTCTGGCTTCACAAAAACTTGGACTCACAGCTGTAGAACCTACAGCTGGAAATGTCTGAAAGAACATGAAGAAACTAAGGCCCAGAAAAACAACAGTGCTTCTCCATCCATGGCTTTCTGGACAACTAACCACTTGAAGATTTTTTTTTTTTTAGCTGCTTTCCCCTAGGAAAGTTTACACCAAAATTACAGCCTTTTCCAAGGTGACTTTCTTACTTTTCTCCATATCAGTGTTCATCTTTTGACAAAGGAAGAAAGACAAGGAGGAGGGGATAGATGAACACATGCAGGAAAGAAGAGAGCAAGGAAAAGAAAAGAAAGAAGAAAGAGAGAGAAGAAAGGCATAAGTGAAGGAAGAAGGTAAGTAGGGAGGAAGAAAGAAGGAGCTATCAAGGAAAGTTCACATATTCTACTTATTGCTTTTAGTCCTTGAAAATTGTTACAAGGGAGGTAGTGTCATTTCAACCTAGAGCAAATCCAGGGGGTCACATCCTGGGATCTTTGCAGGTTCCTCTTCCATCCATCCTGAAATCAATCATTCCTTTCTTTTTCCCTCCCTTCCCCCCACCAACTTACCTTCACTGAAGACGAAATCTGAGATAATGTCAAACGGTTGGATGTGGACAGCAGACAGGATCATGGTGACAGTCTTCTGCGGATCGCTAGAGGCCAGTGAGATGGTTTGCTGAGCTTGACATTCGTAAGACTTCCCAGCAGGGGTGACCAAAGCAGAGAGGCGGTGCGAGTTGGCTGTGTGCTTCCCAGCTGCAGTGAAGGCCCAAAGCAATAGTGAGGCTCCTCTCACTGGTGGAACCCTCGCTGCCCTTAACTCAATGTGCCAGATAACTGGCTCTTGCCTCTCAGCTCCAGAATCCCCATGCCTGTTGTCCTCTGTGTTCCTTGCCAGGGCTGAGGTTCTGCAAATGGTACCCAGCAGTGAAGAAGGACAAACACACCTGTTTTCTCATGAGCCAGGGCTCTTTCAATATTAATCTGGAATTTCTTTTACAGAAGAGAAGAGTGAGACCTAAAAACCCAACTCCTTTTACTAGATAAAAACCTAAAAAATGGAGATTCAAAAGGCAGAGAAAGAACAGTGACTTGATTTTACATTTCAAACTGACCTGGCAAAGAATAAACATCTTCCTCCATAGGGCACAGTCAATTGCTAGTACTCTGGTTGAATGCTGTGTGCCCTTTGGAGACTGCCCTGTTTTTCTACTTTTTTGGCCTAAGTTTGGCCTTTCCTTTCTCCTTCTTCTTTCTTTCTCCTTTTTCTTTCTTGGTTTAATTTAATTGGGGGACATATTGCATATGAATTTTGATGAAGAGCAAAAAATGCTTCTTTTACTGTGATGAGAAAAAGGGATGAAAAGGGCAAGATGACACTTGTATGCTTTCTTGTGTTAAATGACAATCCTTTCCCAGCTCAGGTAGCTCGGTGACAGAAGGTCTCGCTCTTAGTGAAATAGACAATTCATAAAGAAAAAAAAAATCTAAGTGTGGTCTTTGATGGTGCATGCAGGCAGGCACAGTGTTTTGGGGGGATGTTTCTCTTGCCTGGGTATTTTCAGAGAGCCTGCGTGAGTTGTTGGAGGGATGGGCCGAAAATGCTGGACAAACACACCTGGGCAGAATACATGGCTGCAGCGGGTGGCAGAATATCTTGTGCGAACCAGGCTGCCATGCGCAAAAAGACACCGAAGGCCATCAAATTCATACCAAAAGGAAAGTCGCACTGCCCCCTTGCAGTTTCCACTCTTGAGAAGGAAAACCAGGGTGCAGAAGAATATTAAAATGCAGCTTTGTCCTTCTCTACGCTGCTTCAAAGGCCCGATCATAAGAAGCGGCTTCCGAAGCAGCCAGGCGAAAACAGGTTCTCAAGGGACGTCTCATGTAGGAGGAGACCATTTGTGGCCGGCTGGTCCTCACGCCCGTGGTTCCTTGCGGATCTACAAGGCCTGAGACGAGAGGACTCGCGTGCGCTCCGGCCTTCTTGCTCGCCTGGAGAGCAAGCCAGGGGCGGGTTCGGCCTGGGAGCGCAAAGCCGAGATCCGTTTCCAAAGCCCCGAGGGATTCGTTCTCCCTCCCAGCTCGCTTCGCCGTGTTCTGGTGTTCCCAGACTCCCTCCCCAGCCCTGCGGCCTCTACTCACCACTGACAGCGTCTTTAAAGTGGGTCTTCTCGGACGAATCGTAGACAAACTGAACCTTGCTCAGCCTCCAAGTCGCCTCGGGTCCCTTGGACGTGTTGTGGCTTTCCTGCCGAGTAGGGAGTCTCGCGTCAGCCATCCCCGCAGCTTCGGGTCCTTAAACCCAGGAGCCGCCGCTTCCCACGCCCGCCCGAGCCCGCGGCTCCTCTGCCCGCTCCACTCGGAGTTACCTTGACAAAGATCATTTTGAGCTCGTACGCGCGATCCACCCACAACACCTGCAGCTCCGATTCGTTTTGGCCACAGCGGCCCTTCACCTCGGCTCCCCGGGTCAACGCGATATCGGCCTGCTCTGTGATCAGCTGGGAACACAGACGCCCCGCGTCCCCTCAGCGCGCCCGGCCCCGGGGGGCTGTCAAGGCGGCGCGTCCAAACTCTGGGCGGCACGCTTGGACGCTCCTTCGCGCGCGTCCCAGGTCCGAGAACATGCGGTTAGATGCTCTACGTGCGGACCCGGCCGGTGGGGAAGCAGAGAGAGGGGATTTACAGTCAAAGCAGGCAGGGCGAGCAGAAGGCGGTGCAAGCCGGAACCCCCATGCAGCATTCGGGAGCAGCCTGCAGGGGCGTGGGGAAGAAGGCGCGCGACCCAGGTCTTCGCAGGGCCTCGAGGGAGGGGCCCCTTCGCCCTGGAGCCCTAGGAGCAAGCTGGGGGGAAGAGATTCCTTACATCTACGTAATTGCTGGCCCACACATCATAAGGTACAATAAATTTGGCTGCAAACTCTGCCATGAGACACGTCGTCCCATTTTCCCGCACCACAAATATATCTTTTTCAGGGTTGTTGGAAAGGCCCGAGAGATTTTCCACTTCTTGTTCTGCCATGATTCGAGCCATTGTATCTGCGGAACAAACAAAACAATCCCATAAATTCCTGCCTCAGCGAGCCCACGCGTCTCGGTCGCGAGGGTGAGGAGGCCGTGGTCTGCGGGCTTTGAGGGTGATAAACTTCCCTGCCAGCAGCTGTGCGCTCTGCGGCCCATTTCTCTAACTCGGTGCTAACAAAATCGGTTATTTTTTGCTGTTAACTTATGATGAAAATGAAATTTGAAAAATTAAAATCCTTACTTATTTGCAATATGGTTGGCCCTCCCATGACCCATATCTTGGGGTTTTATGACAAATCTTTCTTGTCAATACTCTGACCCCACGAACTGGCTCTGTCTGGGATATGCCACACAGGTGCGTGGCTTTCAGGGGGAATTCCCTGCCTCAGGAGGGGAAGGCCCTCCCCCACCCCCCAAAAAAGGAAAAAAAAAAAAAAACCCTTAAAGCATATGTGCCATATTTTATCTTAAACGACCGGCTTCACTTTGCCGACTCTATTTTCTGCAAAGAGTGCCTCCCGCCCTCCCAGCCGCCCCAACGCCACTCACGGAACAGCATCAGGAGAACTCGAAGTCTGTCGACGCTGGGGACCGCTCTTCCCCGGAGAGCCATGCTCGCAATGCCGCTAACTAGGCCAGATGTGCTGCTGCAGAGGCTGCCCGAGAGGGAATCCCTCAAAGTCGCCGCTGGAGTGGGCCGGAGTGAGCGAGGGGTGGAGGACGGTGAGGGAGGAGGGAGTGAGTGCGCGTTCTGCGAGCGCTGGCTGGGACTCCCGGCGGGCGCGGCGCCGACCGCTGCTGGCAGCGCAAGTCAGCTCACTGCAGAGGCACGGACCGCTCGGCAAGGGGAGCTGTCCACGGATGCGAGTGCTGAAATGAATCCGGTTGTGTGGCGGGAGTGGTTGTGGCTTGGCTTTGTGCAGAGGGCCAATGAGATTTGGGGGTGCTAAAATTCTCCCTGAGTCTGTTTCCTGTTCTGCAGTTGCATCCGCAAAGATGAGTCTGTCTTGAGAAAACTTAACAGCACCCTCAGACTTATTAAATCTCCCTATCAGGTACAATTATTTTGTGGTATAGATATTATATCACTGAAGTCCTGTCTTCTGTAAAGACATCTAGTTGCTGAAAGAAAACGGTAGAGCACAAATTGCTGCGACTTTGGGGGAGGAGGGGTATGCAGGAATAAAGAACGAAAATGCTATGGCAACAATTTTCTGCATTTGGAGACATCCCCTCCTCTCCCCTGTTCTCAGTGAGCTCATGGGTTTAAAGTTAAATTGACGCCTCCTCAAACAAGGCCGTCAGACAATGCAGTAGATCCATGTGGGCTTATTTTTCTGTGAGCCCGAATGCCTGGAGATTCTGAACTCTGGGGTCACTTGCCTTCCCTTGTATTGTGACCACTATGCCAAGAGGAATGTTAGCAAATTTGGAGTTTATGGGAATTATCTGGGGTCTCTTAGGACAGGAATTTTGGAATTATGCCCTAAGTAATGTCACATAGTTACATAAGAAAACCACACACCGATATTACTCTAAAGCCTTTACCGGAACAGAAAAATAAATACTACTGGACTAATACTATAGGGCTAATTCCTATATTTACATTTTTGGTAGCTTGCTTTTTTAAAAAAAAATTTTTTTGGTCTATAAACCAGAATACAGCTTTCAAGAACAAGCATTCAGTCCTCATCAGTTGTAGTGACATCCAAATATTCAATTTCTTTGAGGATATTTCAATATGTGAATAAGCAATTATTGCATTAATAATGTAATGTCATAAAGCAAACAATGTGATATTAACGGGCAAGTTGCAAAGTATTTTAACTTGCATTGTCTAATTTGATTCTGTCCACAACCTTAGAGGGTAGGAAAAGAAAGATATAGGTTATTGTGGTTGTATATATCCCCAAACTGAGACTTAGAGAAATTAAATGACCTTCCCAATGTCACATAGTTAGAATTAAAATAGAAAAATCACATGCTTTAACTTTGTAAAGATCATCTTCATCTCTCCTTATATAATACTTTGACTTAAAAATGTACCATATTTTGACTTCCATAAAAATCTTTATTTAATAACCAGATAGCAAGTTGAAACCTAAAATATTTACCACTATCTCAAATTCCTGAGATGTATAGAATACTGTTTAAGTATAATCATGTTCTGACATGTATTTGCTGCAAAGTGTCTATATAATGATTTTGGCTTCCAAACATATTACTATATCAATAATTAGATCACTAGCAATTCAAATTATGAAGTAATATTTAAACTGATCCTACAGTTTTGCATCTTTACTTTTATGTCTGTATTTTGGTATTTCATCCAAACATTTATCAAGAACTTTTTTTTTTTTTAGTTGGATTCTCACTCTGTCACCCAGACTGGAGTGCAGTGGCCGCTTTACATAAAGGGTTATTTAGAGAATAATTGAAGCAAAATTGGGATTACTATAAGTTCAATTCTTATCAGTTGAGAGTGGGAGATGTAAAATTTATATGTTTTACTTTTGACGTTAGCAACTATGATTAAGCTCTATTTTCCTGTAGTACTGTAAAATCAGAAAGCAGTGAGATGATTAACAAAGTATTTATTCATTATTGGAATTGACCAATCGCTCTCTGCAATACTTTGATGAAGAAAAATAGGTAGATTTCAGTCTAAGATTCACTATATATTACTTTTGTAACCTTGTACAAATTTCAATTTTCCTCATCTGAAAAATAAAATTGGGATAATAGCTCAGGGGATGGCTAGCTAGGCCAAATGAGTAAATAAAAGCATTCAAAGCAAAATACAAACTAATTCAGTCCACAAACACTAGCTGAATACCTAGTACTTGTACTGCACTTGGCGTTTTGGAAAAATATATATATATATACATATATATATTTACTACATGGAGGAGAGATACCTGTAAAATATTATGATACTTTCTTCTGTAATATGTAATTGCATATATCCTTGCTATAAAAGTTATTAAAACATCAGCTGAATTAATTTGTGATTATCTGGTTTAATAACAGAAGATTAGATGGGAAGTTGCATTGGTATTGATCTTAAAACCTTGTAGTTGATTTATAAATCAGATGGTGGTTCCTTTGAAAATGTTTATTTTCATATCTTATATAAATTATCTCTTTCTTGACACCAGAGGATACTCAGTGAGTTGAAAGACAAAAGGAAGTGATTTTAACCCTTTCTTCCTGGGAGGTTCATCTTCGAAAGACAATCAATTCAATTCCATTTTTATTGTTTAGTCTTAAACATGACTTACAAATACCCATTAATTTATTCATCTCATCCCCAGTGATACTCATATTGTAATAGAAGTTGAATCGTTATACTTAAAACTTTCACCTATATTAATTAAACATCTTTCTAATCATTTGGGGGGATTCCTTCAGTTTGATAAAGGTGCAATAATTATCATTAAATTCTATTTTAAGATATTAACAAAGGTTTCCAGAATTTACTCCATTTTTCATTTCTCAAGTCTAAAAGAAGATAGGAGAAACTGATATAAATATGTACACTCATGTGGGTGGTGACTGTGTTGATTTTTTATTATTGCTGCTGGTGGCCAATTCAAAATGTCAGGGGGCAGTGTAACCCAAACAAACCAGATTTTGGATTGCCTCTAGATCCTCTAAGGTCCTTCAAAGGATTTTTCATCAATTCATATGTTTATTTATTGAGCCAGGTAAGTGGGCTCATGCCTGTAATCCTAGCACTGTGGGAGGTTGAGGAAAGAGGATCATTTGAGGCCAGGAGGTCAAGACCAGCCTAGGGAACATGGTGAGACACTGTTGCTATTCAAAAATAAATTTAAAAAAAATTTTTTAAGTATATATTTACTTATTGAATTAGCTTTTTTGAAACTCATGCCATTAAGTGGTTGCTGTTTTATCAAAGTGGAAGAAGAGGCCCCTGCATAGAACTTCCAGTTTGGATCAGAAAAAATAAGAACATACACAAAGATGTGATTTAGTCTGGTACAATGTGTATAGTTTAGGGGAAAAAAGTAAGATAGCCAACCCAGGAGACAGGGTGGTTGGAATTGACCAAAGCAGGCCTCTTGGAGAAGGTAGATCTTGAAAGAAGTGGACAAACTATGGGGTGAAAGCAAGGTAGGGCAATGCAGGTGGAAGAAATATCTATTGAATAGGGAATTCAATGCAAAGATATAACTCTTCGAGAGTTAGAGTTCAGCAACTACCTACAGGACACAATGTTCACTATCTGGGAAATGGGCTACCTGTGACCCCATCCCCACCACTAACAAATATGCACCTGTACCCCTGAATCAAAAATAAACATTTTAAAAAAGATATAACTCTTCATCCTTCTATGTTTATCAATTTGCAGTAAAAAAGAAATTAAGCCTTGAATTCACAGTGCCTTATATGTGACATAATCCCCATATTATTTCTGTATTTGACAGTTTACCCACATATGGCATAAACAAAACTTGTCCAAAAAAATTAAAAATTTCAAGATGTTAGGTATATCTGTTTATACTTGGTTGTGCAAACAATTGCCTTGTATTTGTAGAATCAAGAAACAAAACTATGAAAATCAGTAAACAATACTAATAAGGAAATTATATTTATGGGCTTCAAAAGGAACAGGCTGGGCTTTGTTACAGCTGAAATTTGGTTTACTGAGGTTTCAGTCCACCTTACAGAGAAATGTAAAAATGTACCCTTGCTCTGCTAACCCGTCCCACCACCTAACCACCTCCCCTGCACACACACATAATAGAAGCACACAGGAAGTCGGGCTTGGTGGCTCAGCCTGTAATCCTGCGCCTTTGGGAGGCTGAGGTGGGTGGATTGCCTGAGCCTGCGGGTTCAAGACCCACCTGGGCAACTTGGCGAGACCTCGTCTCTACAATAAATCAAAAATTAGCTGGGTGTGGTAGCGCGTGCCTGTAGTTCCAGCTACTTGGAAGGCTGAGGCAGAAGGATTGCTGGAGCCCAGCAGGTCGAGGCTGCAGTGGCCAGAAGTGGCCACTGCACTCCAGTCTGGGCAACAGAGTGAGACTCCAACTCAAAAAAAAAAAAGAGGCACACAGGAAAAACAGAAACGGGAATAATTAAACTGAACAAGATGCCCACAGCTGTTAAGCCAGAATTACTACTCACCAAAACCTTTTCTTGTGTTTAGCTTATCATTGGACAGTTATTTTCATTTAATTTAATCAAACTACATTTGGATACATTTGATGAAACCCTTTCTAGGATAGAAACACTTTTGGGATAAGAACCCAACAAGTAAGTGTATGCAACAATATTTTGTGCCACACATTGCCAAACCCTAGAATATTTGGAAAGGACTGGGAAATTGAGCTTGGGCCTCTGTTGAACCCAGCCTGTATGACCTTCATATGTTTTTATCATCCTATGACTTCTTTCATGACGCCTGCATCTACTTTCACAAAATAAGGGTTGTTTCTGCAATAAGAGTAACCAGTGGAGGAGTCACCAAAACAATGGTCTTTTCATTAGCTGTGTTCATACTGAATCCTGGAGAAATGTCCTTTATGAGTTCCTTGAGAATAAATGGCTTCCACATGGGAGGGATACAGAGCATGAGAACCTCATAACAAACATGAGAGGCCGGGCAATCACTCCTCAAAATTCAGTAGTAAAGAAATCATTCTTGTCTTTTGAACTCATCATGAGCTAACCATGCTGGTTAGTTTTAAGTCAGTTACACGAGGGATTTAGCTGTCACTGAATTTAGCTTATTTAGTTGCATTGAAGACAATTATTATTATTATTATTTTGGCCTTGGGACTCTATTCATTCTGCTTTCTTAGGAAAACCTTTGTTAACTTGGGGGTAGGGGACTTTTTCTTTTAGGTAAAGTTAAAACAAAAGTTACTTGAGTTTTTGTTTGTTTTAATCCTTTAAGAAGGTCTCTCTCCAAGGAATGACACCTACTGCCAAGGGCCTAAGGTTAAGCAAGCTGTGGCTCATTTAAAATAATTTGCTACCTGAATTCTGAGATAATTCAATTCCCTAAAATCTCTTTTATGACAGGTCACAGGTTCCCTTGTTCCATCAGTTACTCTTTTAATTGTCTATCTCAAGTTATCTGTCTATTAA